TGTTTCTGGTGCCAAGGTGTCCGAAGGTGTGGGAACGTTCTTGGTCACTGCTGTCGGTGTTAACTCGACATATGGTAAGACATTGATGTCCCTGCAAGACGAGGGTCAGACGACACCCCTGCAGTCAAAATTGAACGTGCTTGCGGAGTATATCGCCAAACTTGGTCTGGCAGCCGGTCTGCTACTGTTCGTTGTGCTGTTCATCAAGTTCTTAGCCCAATTGAAGGATATGGATGGTGCCGATGCCAAAGGTCAGGCCTTCCTCCAGATTTTCATCGTTGCAGTCACCATCATCGTCGTTGCCGTTCCCGAAGGATTGCCCCTCGCTGTGACACTTGCGCTCGCCTTCGCTACGACGCGAATGTTGAGGGACAATAACTTGGTGCGTTTGTTGAGGGCTTGCGAAACCATGGGCAATGCAACTACCATCTGCTCGGACAAGACCGGTACACTCACGGAAAACAAAATGACTGCCGTTGCCGCTACGCTGGGGACTACCATGAGGTTTGGAGACAAGTCCGCTGGAGTGTCTTCCGGCCAGGCCAATGGGGACCATAATCCCAACAACTCATCGGGCAGTATGTCGCCATCTGAGTTTGCATCAAGTCTCGCGGCGCCGGTGAAGGCGCTTCTGCTCGATTCGATCGTTCTTAATTCCACTGCATTCGAGGGAGAGCAGGATGGAACAATGACATTTATTGGATCCAAGACCGAGACGGCCCTCCTCAGTTTCGCGCGGACTTACTTGGGTATGGGCTCGATTAGCGAGGCGCGATCGAATGCAGAAATCGCTCAGATGGTTCCGTTCGATTCAGGACGTAAATGCATGGCCGTGGTCATCAAGCTTGAGAATGGGAAGTACCGGATGCTGGTCAAAGGCGCGTCCGAAATTTTGCTTTCGAAATCTACACGCATCATTCGTGATCCTACCAAAGAGGTATCCGATACGTCTCTCTCGGAACAAGACCGGTCCACCCTGGAGAACGTCATTACGCACTACGCTACCCAGTCGCTCCGGACCATTGGTCTGGTGTATCGTGATTTTGACCAGTGGCCCCCTCGTGGAGCGCCTACCTCGGAGGAGGACCGTTCGCTGGCCCAGTTCGACCCCTTGTTCAAGGACATGGTACTGTTTGGTATTTTTGGTATCCAGGACCCTCTACGACCCGGAGTCACAGAATCCGTCCATCAATGTCAAAAGGCTGGCGTATTTGTCAGGATGGTGACGGGTGATAATATTATGACTGCCAAAGCTATTGCTCAAGAATGCGGAATTTTCACACCCGGAGGTATTGCTATCGAAGGACCCAAGTTCCGTCAGTTGAGCAATCGTCAGATGCGTCAAATTATTCCCCGGCTGCAGGTTCTGGCAAGGTCGAGCCCCGATGATAAGAAGATTCTGGTTACTCAACTTAAGAAGCTCGGGGAGACGGTTGCTGTCACTGGTGATGGAACGAACGACGCTCAGGCTCTGAAGACCGCTGACGTTGGGTTTTCCATGGGCATCACTGGTACGGAAGTCGCAAAGGAGGCATCAGACATTATCCTGATGGATGACAATTTTGCATCGATCGTCAAGGCTATGGCTTGGGGTAGGACTGTCAATGATGCAGTTAAGAAGTTTTTGCAGGTAACTTTGGCAGCTTGACAGTTCGCATTGGTCTCAAGCTAACATTTTATCGTTCAGTTCCAAATTACAGTCAACATTACTGCAGTCTTGCTCACGTTCATCTCGGCTGTGGCTAGTGGTGACGAAGAATCGGTTCTGACGGCTGTTCAGCTGTTATGGGTCAACCTTATCATGGATACTTTTGCAGCCCTTGCTCTCGGTAGGTCTTGGTGCTGAACTCCGATGGAGCTATACATAGCTAACCGTTCTGTGATAGCAACGGACCCTCCGACCCCTCACATCCTCGACCGCAGACCTGAACCTAGATCGGCACCCCTCATCAACCTGACGATGTGGAAAATGATAATAGGACAAAGCATCTTTCAGCTCGTCGTCACCCTTGTTCTGAATTTTGCTGGAAAATCGATATTTCATCTTCATTCTGCCGAAGACATGGAACGGCTCAAGACGACAGTCTTCAACACTTTCGTCTGGATGCAGATTTTCAATCAATGGAAGTGAGTGAACACCTGGCTCCATGTTTACGAGGACGGAGATGGACAGTTGCTGACCGATTTAAAGCTCTCGCCGAATTGACAACGGTCTGAACATCTTCGAAGGCATTTTCCGCAATCGTTGGTTTATTGGTATTCAATTTATCATCATCGGAGGTCAAGTCCTGATCGTCTTCGTGGGCGGGCAGGCTTTCTCGGTCAAACCTTTGGTGGGTTACCAATGGGGCGTTTCTCTAATACTCGGCGTGATTTCGCTGCCTATCGGCGTTATTATTCGCCTTATCCCGGACGAGTTCGTTTCCAGGCTCATCCCCAGGTTCTGGACCCGCAAGAAGGGCCCCGAGCTTGTGGTTTCGGATGAGGATCGACGCTTCGAATGGAATCCTGCTTTGGAAGAGATCAGAGACCAGCTGACTTTTCTCCACACTGTCCGCGGTGGCCGATTGAGAAACTTGAAGCATAAGCTTCAGCATCCCCAAGAACTCCTTCCTAGATCGCGCAGTGGATCACGATCGAGAGAGAATTCTATCCCCTCGACCCCTGTTGGCGAGAACGGCGGTGCTTCACCCCAGCCTGCAACACCCGAGTCGCGCTCACGAAAGCGCACCCGATCTCGCTCTAACTCCGCTTTCGGACCCGCTGCCGCCATGGCCGGTGTGGTTGCCGGCAGTATTGCCGGATGGTCTCCGATTGAAAGAGCGCCAGGCGAAAATGACTCGGTCGGCTTCAACTCGAGCAGCCCTCACGGGGGGCTGGATAACCAAGAGGGGATTGAAATTCACCCAGACACCGCAGCCGACGAGCGCCTCGTCGGTGATTATCTATCTACTTCCAAGACTCCCCCGAGTCAGAACCCCGACCTGATCCCATACTTTGAACACGCTCCTCCTGCCCGTGCACCCTCCAGTCGTAGCAGACGGTCTACTTCAGGACGATCCCGATCTAGCCAGAGCCGGTCGCAACAGAGCTAGATGATATTCCTGCCCAGTCATCCTTATCATACGCATTTCATTTTCCTGGTCGAGACCAAATACGATGTACTCATAGACTTTTCTTTTGCTCGTTGTTAGAAGCGCTTGCTCACCGTCGCGTCTTTTTCCTGTTTTCGGCTTTGCACAGTATTCGCTGTCTCATATTACTGCATTCGGATGGTCTGGGAAGTTCGCTCTTAGACTTTGCACTTTGTGGAAACGAAATTCTCACCCCCTGTCTTAATACCCCTTTGCTTACTTGGCGATGTCGTGTGTTCTTATACTGGGGGCGTCTCCGGGATCCTGAAAATTCCGCTTAGTTGCTTACTTAGCTCAGATCTCTCTGATAGACCGGTCGTTCCTGCATGGGGTTTTGGGCCTGGCGCAAAGGCGGTGCGGTCTCTTTGTTTACTGTTTGTTCTATAGATTGCCTCTGCTACTTCCTCCTGGCTTTGCCGTCGTACAGATACCAATGATAATTGCTCTTTTGTTGTCTAGAAGCTCTAGTCAAATATCATCAGTAGGTACGCTACTAGTAGACAAAAAGTGCCTGCAAGAAACTAGGATGGAAGAATAAATGACTGAGAATTGGGCCCTACGGTGTATCCAGTCGGTCCTCCGACCTCCGTGCGCACTGCGTTGTATTCTGTACTTGTGATCCAGGAAAGGGGGAAGAATGTTGCAATCTAGTATCTACATACTATCAGTACTTTGGGTAACATAACACGGACGGTATCAGTGCGCGAAATCAAGAATTCTGCCGAGGGTGCGTCCTTCAACCTCCCTGGTTTGTCCAAAGTGAGTCTCTTCTTTGGCAGGATGACGGATCGGATGGACTGCTGCTTGGTGTTATTGTTAGGTTCATGTGATATTGTGCAGGTTATCTTTTCCATTTGAGCAGTAACGTATATGGAGGTATATGTAGGTATATGGGGGAGAGTGTCCATTCTCAGTTCACGAAATCAGGGAAAGTGGTCCGAGGCAAGCGTCATGAGCATGCAATGCAGTTCAGGTTTGGTGCGGTCTGCGATGCTATGCACTTTTGGCGAACCAGACTATGTACCAACCTCTCCTAGGCGTCCTGGTGTTCTCCTTACGTTGCTAGTGCATACCGTGCCGGCGCATCTGCAGAGCTTAATACTTAATACGTCCGACGGTATGTTGACATGCATGGTAGCGTGACGATTTGCGCGAAACGAAGACCCTTTGCTGGAGCTTTTTCAAAGCGTATTGGCCCTCATGGTTTAATAATAACTCGAAAGAATCCCAACACGGCTGTTGGAGACTGAGATCAAAGGCCAGGGTTGATTGCAGGGAGCCGACGGCCCTGTTTCAATGTGGTTGATGCTACCTCAGGTTCCTAGTGGCCTGGGTTGCTTTGTGGATGCTGATCCTGGGGACCAGGACACGGACGGCATTGGACTTACTGCATGGATCTCATCATGCGGGCTTGTGTGCCATGGTGGTCGGCACTCTGCAGCCGATGCGTAGTCTTCTGGGGCGGTATCCGTGATGCTGTGGAATGTCATGTTACCAGTGGTAGTGCAGGTATTACGTACCTTGTAAAGTCGAAATCGCTTGGTCCATACAAAATGATGTCAGTTCAATATCGCCTAGCAGTTAGATCACGTTTATTTCCTCTGAAAAGGTCTCTGCCTCCTTCTTCTCCTTCCACAGTCGCCCTTTTCTTCCTACCTATACTTCAGCCTTTCTGATAATCAGGAAGGTTCACGTTGTTGGTTTGCAGCTTTGGTCATACTCTGTCATTTTGTGATGGTAAGACCGATGCTAACTGCGCTAGCAAGATAGAGAGGGAAATCGTACCCTTGGTAGGAAAGACGAGGGAAGACGAGTTGAGCCCTTCTGCCTTTGGAGCGAACAGTGTCCGTTCTCATCTAAGCCAACATGGCGTCCGAATTTGAGAAGCCGCGCGAGTCCCCTTCTTTGCACACCGTTACACAAGTAGAGCTGGGGGACTGCGGATCCTCGAGCACCATCTGCCAATCACGATATCAACGATGGGCAGGGAGCATCAAGAACTTAGAAACCCGCGGGATTGAGCCTGTTCCACCAGAGGATCGTCAGAAGCCCACCACATCAGATTCGTTTCACATGCTGTTGATATGGTTCAGCATGGGAATGGCAGTAAGTCATATGGTTGTCGGTTCAATAGGAACACTGGTCATGAATCTGAACTTCACGGACGCTGCCCTCTGCGCCGTATTTGGAAACCTAGCTGGGGGTTTGGCGGTCGGTTATATGAGTACCTGGGGTCCTAGGAGCGGGAATCGCACACTTGTATGGACTTTCCCGATCAGTTCGTTTTTCTTTAAATCCTATCCGGATTTATACCATCCAACTTGCTTGACTTGAGCATGAGCCCGGCTCACGAATTGATTCTATAGGTCATGACCAGATATTTCATGGGTTACTACCCCAACAAAGTGTGCTGTTTGCTGAACGTGTTGACCAATCTCGGGTATGGAATGATCAATGCTATGGTAGGGGGTCAGATTCTGTCTAAGCTCTCTGGAGGATCTGTATCCGTCATTGTTGGAATTATCATTGTCGCCCTGGGCAGTGGGATCATGGCGACGTTTGGTATGCGCATATTCCATATATATGAGAGGTATTTGTCCTTGCGCACAGTGCTGAAGCAAAATAGCAAAGTGCAAGGCTGACTTGGGGACATAGATTCGCTTGGCTCCCTCAATTGCTCACATTCTGCATCTTGGCGGGATCAGCAATACCACAGTTTGACCTCCATACAAAGTCCGTCGGGTCGTCCGATGAGATAAACGCAAAGCGCTTAGGGTTTTTCTCACTCTGCATGTCCTCAGCTCTCTCGTGGGCGCCCTCTGCTGCAGACTTCTATGTGTATTACCCATCCACGGTCAGGCCGTGGAAGACTTGGTTGGTGACCACTATTGGAGGGTGCGGAGCGATGATGATCAGTCTTCTCCTGGGAGTTGGCCTGGGAACCGGTGTTGCAAGCAGTGTCAGGTGGCAGGCACTCTATGACGGAACTCCTGGAAGCTTGTTGATGGCTGGCTATGACAGACTCGGAGTGTTTGGCAAGATTTGCGCATTCATTAATGTGCTGACGGTGGTTTCCAACAACGGCCCAGGTTCGTATTCCATGGCAATGAACTTTCAAATGCTCGGAGACATCTGGTCGAGAATTCCGCGTCCTATCTTCACCATTGCAAGTACCGTCATTTATACTGCATGTGCCATTGGAGGACGGAATTTCCTGTATCAAATCTTCAAGAATTTCCTCCCTCTGATTGGTTACTGGATCGTCATCTGGTTCACCATCGCTGTCGAGGAAGATGTGCTCTTCAACCGGTGTCGAGGATACGATTGGACTATATGGAATGACTGGCGGAAACTCCCAGTGGGTGTTGCTGCTGGGGTCTCCTTCCTGATCGGATGGGCAGGAGCCATTGTGGGTATGGTAAGTGATAGGAACCATCTCTGTTTCTCTCAAAGCCACCTGCAACAGACCAAATTTGCTGACAGCTCGGGCGCCAAACAGGACCAAGTCTACTACACTGGGCCAATTGCGAATGCGACCACAGGAGGTTGTGATCTTGGGATCTGGCTCGGCCTGGGGTTCACGGCCATATCTTTTCCTGCTCTGAGACTGTTGGAGCTTCAGATGCTTGGTCGTTGACGCTGTGGACGACTTTGTCTCCACACGTCAACCGGATAGACGTCGAACGTTGTAGCTATCAAGATTGGATCCGACGCAGACGTGTTCCGTCCTAATCCTGTACAAACATGTTAGTCCAAGTTCCGCTGGTAGCATAGAAGTTGTCTCGAAAGATATTAGATGGTGGGCAAGGATACATTGTAAAAGTCGAGATTCAACATTTTCACGTTGTGATTCCATGTGTTCTTCAAAGCTTTCAGAGGTCAACGATGCCGAAGAGTATTGCACCACAGAAGCCATTCGTTTAAGTCTAAACTGAACACGAAGCATATATCGGCCGCAGCGTCCATATATATGCTTCAAGGATGAAACAGTGGAGGGACCCTTATCAATAAACCGAGGATCGCGGTGAAAGTGCGGGGAAGAGCTGAAGAGTGAAGGGTGTCCTAAGATAGTCTGGTGAGAAGTCATTTGATTTCCTCTTCCTTCTGAGGGTCTGATAGCTTGCTTTGGACTATGTCCTCGATGAAGTTAGAGTCCAGACTGAATGCAGTAGTCATCATCATTATTGACCTATGTCCGTCCGGGTAGCCGTCGAGCGCTATCAGGGACTCTCTAACTGTCGTGGGGCGGCCTGGGGCGGGCGGTATGTACATATGCCTGTTCTGTCTATCAGGAGCTGCCTAGACCACTAGCTAGTCTACTCCTTACACCAACAACGACATTCACCAAGGCAACCCCGCTTCTGTTAGTTTTAGCTCCTTTAGTACTTAGTCTACCTGAAGTCATTGGGCTCCGATCATAGAGAAATATCTTCTTCAACTCTCATGTCAATAATGACAAGTAGAAGAGATGAAGAGCATCATGGAGCAACTTGCAGCAAGGGTGAAGAGTGGCCCATTGGCAATTCTCACCACTGATGTATCACACGTCTCCTTTGGCCGGCTGGCCCCCTATATCCTGGCTTGCCTTGCAGCATATCCAGTGCTATGCTCTTTTCTCCGTTTCCGCAAGATGCGATGGCTCCATCGCAAGTACAATTTCCCAACCCGCGAGTCTCTTGCTCGCATGACCGATGACGAAGCGTGGGAAATTCAAAGGGTCATACTGCAGCAGGAGTTTCCTTTCATTTTCGTCAAAGCGCTACAATTTGCGCTCTTCAGGGTTAGCCACTCACTCGTTCTTGATTGATGCACTTGTTACGGGCAGTTCATCTAAGATACTGCACAGACGTACGGCATCCCCACTATATCTGGCCTCCTGACGGCAACGAGCCAATTCTCGAAACCGGAGACATCTCTCAAGCGCTACACCGACACCAGCGCCCTGATCCAGGAATTCATGGGACATCGCCCCTCCTCAGAGCGTGCCTGCGTTGCCCTCGCGCGCACCCGCTTCCTGCACACTGGGTACCGCGCCGCGGGCAAAATCCAAGAAGACGACATGCTGTACACGCTCGGCCTCTTCGCCATCCAGCCCGTCCGGTTCATCGAGAAGTTCGAATGGCGCACGTTGAGCGACATGGAGAAATGCGCCATCGGTACCTTCTGGAAGAGCATCGGCGACGGACTGGACATCAGCTACGAGAACCTCCCGTCAAGCAAGACGGGGTTCCGCGACGGCCTCCACTGGCTGGAGGAAATCATGGCCTGGAGCGATGACTACGAAGTCCGAAGCATGCTTCCGGACAAGAAGAACCGCGAGACGGCCGACCAGACTACCGCCGTGCTGGTGTACATGATTCCCGGCCCGTTGCAGCATATCGGGCTGAAATTCGTCTCGTTCATGATGGACGATCGCCTACGGAAAGCCATGCTGTAAGCATATGCATCTTCTTTATCTCATCCGCCTTTCTTGCCCCAGAAACCCAAAAGAACTAACTCGCAAACCTAAATCAAGGTACGACCCTCCCCCGCCCGCCTACACCAGAGTATTCTCGTTTCTCCTCCGCGCCCGTCGCTTCGTCATGCGCTACCTCGCCCTTCCCCGTCCCTACTTCCTACGCTACGAACCCTACACAGACAACCCAGACGAGCACAACCGCGTCTTTATCACCCAATGGGACGCAGCCCCCTACTACGTCAAGCCGACCTTCTGGAACCGCTGGGGCCCAACCGCCTGGCTCACCTGGGCTCTGGGGAAGCCGCTCCCCGGCGACATGGGCGATAAGTACTACCCGCAGGGCTACTACACTGCCGACGTGGGCCCAAAGTACTTTGAAGGGAAGGGCCGACAGACCATGGAGAAGATCGTGGAGGAGCTCAAAGTCTCGAGGACGGGGAAGTGTCCGTTCATTTGAAAGATTTGACCGGTCCCGTAGTTGTCCCGTCTGCGTCACGTCCGTTTTGTGCCGCAAAGGACGGCGCCATGTGCTTCCTAAATGTGCCCATATACCCACTCTCTGCGGCCAGCCGACTGTTCTGGACAGACGTCGTACAATTTTCGATATATTGATATCGGTCTGCTAACGGTGACACAAAATGGTCTTCCGACAGCGGGGGTCAGTAGTGGACACAAATGATTTTTGGATGAAAGATTTTTATCATGTTGCCAGAAACAGATGCGTTGTCCTATAGTTCGGCTTGATATCCATACAGTTTACTCTACTTATTTCTGATCTGCCCCGGCGGACCATTGACGAAGGACTGTAGACCATGCTTTTGAACTTTGTACTGTTTGAGGAGTCCAATACTTTCAGAGGCCCTGGCGGCCATAAGAAATTAAGAACAGGAAGATTAAAAAAACGCTCGAGCAAATATTCCAGTATGTCAGCAGCAGCCTGTGAGCGAGGCCAAGACCAGAGAGAAAGTAGACTTATGTATCAGGGGTATTACTGTGAACCGATCTTAATTCACGTCACTGAAAGGCTAGAGAGAAATAATTTACTCCTCAGCCTCAAGGGGCTCCTCCTCGCCGCTGCGGAGAGTCAGCACACGTCCTCTGCAAAAAGATCTGGGAAAACTCACTATTCCTCCTCACCCTCGGAGATGGAGGCGTCCTGGTACTGCTGATATTCGGAGACCAGATCGTTCATGTTGCTCTCAGCCTCAGTGAACTCCATCTCGTCCATACCCTCACCAGTGTACCAGTGCAAGAAAGCCTTGCGACGGAACATAGCAGTGAACTGATCACCGACACGCTTGAACAGCTCCTGGATGGAGGTGGAGTTACCAATGAAGGTGGAGGACATCTTGAGGCCACGGGGGGGAATGGAGCAGAGAGCGGTCTGGATGTTGTTGGGAATCCACTCAACGAAGTAGCTCTGGTTCTTGGACTGGATGTTGCGCATCTGGTCCTCGACCTCCTTCATGGAGACCTTACCACGGCTAAATTATGGTCAGTAAAGAGATCGCGCATAATGTTCGTGGGTCTAGCAACATACAAAATGGCAGAGCAGGTGAGGTAACGTCCGTTGCGGAAGTCCGAAGCAGCCATCATGTTCTTGGGGTCGAACATCTGCTGGGTCAACTCGGGAACGGAGACGGCACGGAAAGAGTGAGCACCACGGCTGGTCAGAGGAGCGAAGCCGACCATGAAGAAGTGCAGACGAGGGAAGGGAACCATGTTGACGGCCAGCTTGCGCAGATCAGAGTTGAGCTGTCCAGGGAAACGAAGGCAAGTGGTGACGCCGGACATGACGGCGGAGACCAGGTGGTTCAGGTCACCGTAGGAGGGGTTGGAGAGCTTAAGGGTGCGCATGCAAATGTCGTACAGAGCCTGTGAACCAGTCAGTCTCCGCGTTGTTTTCTGGACAATCAATCCACCCATACCTCGTTGTCGATACAGAAGGTCTCATCGGAGTGCTCAACGAGCTGGTGAACGGAGAGAGTAGCGTTGTAAGGCTCAACGACAGTGTCGGACACCTTGGGGGAGGGAACAACAGAGAAAGTTGCCATCATACGGTCGGGGAACTCCTCACGGATCTTGGAGATCAGAAGGGTACCCATACCGGCACCGGTACCACCACCGAGAGAGTGGGTGACCTGGAAGCCCTGGAGGCAGTCACAGCCTTCGGCCTCGCGACGGACGACATCGATAACTTGGTCGACCAGCTCGGCACCCTCGGTGTAGTGACCCTTGGCCCAGTTGTTACCAGCACCAGACTGGCCGAAGACGAAGTTGTCGGGACGGAAGAGCTCGCCGAAGGGACCGGCACGGACAGCGTCCATGGTACCGGGCTCGAGATCGACCAGAACGGCACGAGGAACATATTTGTCGCCGTTGGCCTAGTAGCGAGTCAGATCGTGAGATGTTGCCGAAGTAGTGTAGAGTCGAGTTTCATCCACGCACCTCGTTGAAATAGACGTTCATACGCTCCAGCTGGAGATCGGAGGAGCCATTGTAGCTATTATCCTCATCAGACACGCGCCCTCTTCCTGCTTGCCTTTCGTGTTTCCCCCGCTTTCTCAATTGGCAGGATAAAGGTCGAACTTACTGGCCAGAGCCGTCAAGGCCGTGCTCACCAGAGATGGTCTGCCTGTAAATTTGTTAGCTGATACCCATCACAGCGACGCTGAAACCATGGAGGAAAGCCTGCTAGGATGACAGGTCCTAATCTCCCATCATTCAAGCATTGAGGTCGAGGCATACCAGAAAGCAGCACCAATTTGGTTACCCTATCACCAAGAATGGAGTTTAGTCTCAGCTCAATGCAAACGCCATCCCTACGCTTCTCCCATGACAGTCAATCACCCACGATGGGCAGTACTTACACACTGACCGGTCTGAAGGTGAACCTGTATATTGAAAGAGAACAAGTTAGCTGATCCGCATTCTTGAGGAACAAGTGGGGTTCTTCTATTTGGTGAGAAACCAAATCGACGCGTCTCCTGACGGGAACAGGGGGGGGGTTAGGCACAACATACGATTTCACGCATTGTGGATTATTTGCTGGCGGAGAGTTACTGAGAAAGGGTGGGATGGGTAAAAAAGAGATAGAATAGGAAAGTTCAAAGTGGACAAGAGGATAAGAGACCGTCGAAGAAATGGGGACGGAGAGGAAGAATGGAGAAAGGGAAAGGGGAGTTGGGTTGAAGTTTAGCGGTGAGGAGAGAAGGAGTTGTTCGTTGTGCGGGCTGGTCTCTCAGGGATCAACAGACAACAAGTCAACATTTGCTTTTGGTAAATAAATCAGGGGGAGCTACGGTCAAACATGGTTTAGCGCGGTTCCTATCACGGGACACCAGTCAGCAACCGCTCCGCGCTGGAACGAACCACAGTTGAGACAGCGACAACAACCGCGAACCATGAATTGGAGTCATTCCATCATGCTGGCAATTAAACAATGGGTGTCAATAAATAAGAGAGGGTCCGTTTCAACATTAATTGCCAGTTCTAGCAATGTAACCCCGTTTAATCATCATGTCTTTATCAGCATGGCCATTCCCGCCGTTTCTTTTGGCTCAGATGTACAGAGTACATGGTCCGCTATAGTACAGTACAAAGCGCTGCGAATCAATGACCTCCTTCTTCGGCGCTTATTCAGTTGGCATGGATACAACACCTAGGGGGATAAAAGAGGTTTAAGAAGTGACAATCGTCCAAGAAGCCACTACTTGGCAGTATTTTCCACCACATGGGAGCTTTCCAGCCAAGTCCCAAATTCGTCCAACCGTGCGTTTTCTTCCTCGTCTTCGGCGTCAAGACCTCTCTCCGCCATATCCTCGAGAGCTGCCCGTCTCTCATTGCTCTTTTTGAACTTCTCTTTCCCGTCCGAAATGTAGGCCTCGACGCGTGTGCCAGCGAAAAAGCGACCATCCATCACCTAGAAACTGGTTAGAGAATAGATCTTTGCGAAGGTTATGATGCAGCAGCAAAATGAGCCAACATAACATACTCTGACACATTGTCTGGCAGCTTCAGGGTCCGTGAAACGAACGCTGACAACTCCGTCGGGTTCTTTGTCATACAAAACGACATTCGTAACCTCACCTAACTTGGAGCACTCCTCCCGAATGTCATCCTTGATATCGAGTATCGCTGCTGGGTCCTCCTACAAACGGTGAGTATCATGCGACCCATAAGCGGCCTAAGTGGGAATCATACGTCGATTTCCTTCAGAGTAAACATGTGTTTGAGTATGACAAGCTTCTCAAGCCTAGAGCTCGTGTCCGTCAAATGTGATGGCTCGTCGTCACTCCAATCAGCGAGTTTGCTAGCCACACCGCGTCAGTCCATAAATCGTCAAAAGTCCCCAGGTTTCCTTAGACAGACCTATTTAGTTTCTGGGTCCTCTTGATGATCTTCTTCTTATCCCTCATGCTGGTCTTTGTCGGTGCCTCTTGTTGGCTCTTGAATGAGAAATCCGCAGCCTGGACCTTCATCGGTCCATGCGGGCCTGTCACCCCTAACCTAAAGTCTGACTCGTCCAGCATCTGTATGGCGAGGTTGACAGACTCCGGCCGGAAATACACGATCAAAGCCTCACCCTTGAACTTGCCATTTTCGTCCATATACATCTTAATTCGGGGCCGGCCACTGTCAATCTCTTCGGCGATGACACCACACTTGGAGAAGACGTCACGAATCTCATCGAATTCGGCGTCAAGGGGAATAGATGTGACGAACAAGGCTGTGTTCACTCGTTGTTTCTTCGGCTTTTGACCATTACTCTGCGATTTAAATAGAGTCAGTCACTGTAGCTACAAAAAATAGATTGCTGCACTGACCTCGTCCCCACCGGCCTGCTGCTTCCGCTTCTTCCTCAATTGTTGCGCAGTGACTTGTTCATTTTCGTCCACCCCCTGAATCTTGTAGGCTTCTTGCTGCTGTTGGAGCAAGTCATCGTCGACCTGAATACCCAAGGGCGCGGAAATGTCGCGCCAACCACACAATCAGTTTCACGAACCGACCAAGACCCATGTAGCAACGGCGATAGCAGTGGATCTGCAATGAAACGCTGTGCTCCAGATACGATACTTGGCAAGTGGGAAAATACAGCGTGGGAGGAAGGGAACTCATAACAAGAGGGAGACAGAAAAGGTGAGAGTTCAACGATCGCAAGATACAAGGGGAATCGACCAGCTGCAGAGGAAGCGCGCACACACCGTCGGGATCCATCGTTTTAAAACCGTATCGTATTCAAATTCCTGTCCGTCTTCAGTCTCCAGGATAAACTTGTTGTCCAGTTTCGAGAAGGAAATCCTGGGGTCGCTGTCGAATTCAGCCGGGTCCTGCGGGAAGTTGCTAAAGGGCGCCGTTTTAGGAGCTTCTTCGCTGGGGCTTCGTGATGCCATCTGTGCGAGACTGTAGACCGATACACGAGATTTAAGAACACAGCAACTGGGGAGAAATCAGATGAACAGAGAACTGTAGGTGCTCTGTGTTGGAGAATTGAAATGGTTTGCGGGGCGAAGACCTAGCTCCAAGCTGTAAGGGGATTTCTAGGTGGTGACGACGGGAAGCTCCGATCGTGGCTTATCATTGGCCGCAAACCACGACATCTGCCATCACCTTATCCCATGAGAACTGCAACCCTTACGAATGTTACTACTTGGGTATTTCATTGCTCTCATCAATATGAACTGCTCACCCGCTATAGGTTGATTGGTGGTTTTCCAGGAACAGATTTGCAGCTAGTATAGATGACTAAAGATAGGCGCCGCCAATCCATGATCGACCCTCGGGCTTTATGATACTACCTGCATACAAAGGTCGTCATGCCAGCAAAATATCATCTGGCGTTGATGCATGCTAAAGTGGTTCTACGGGCCAGTTTTTTACCCAGCCTCTTATGTGGAAAGACACACAAGGCCTGATGAATGAATTTTTCAATGACTTCGGATGAAGAAAATAGAACGTTCTGTGTAGCCAAGGGGGTCTTCCAACGTGACGAAAGATACAAACAAAAAAAAATAGAGGTATATACAAACAGATCATGGTCATAGAATTAGGGCGTGATTATTAATGACAGGGTATCATAGAATGTTAGAGAGTCTGACAGAGGGTTCAAGCCTTCGTTTCAATGGTGCCCTCGTGGCCTCCGGTAGGGGTGATTGTCCGCTTGGAAGAGCCATCAAGGGCTTCAGTGCCCTCAACGCCGGTGATCACATCGCGAGTGATTTCGACATAGTCATACTAGGAATCTTTGTTAGCTCAAATGCTTCAAGCCGCTGATACGTCTGGAGCACATACAGCAAACTCGCCGATCTCGGCATCGTCAATACCCAGAATTTCATCTTCTTCGGCAGCGCGGAGGCTGAGACCAGGGACTAAGTTGATGAGGAAGAGAATAAGGCAGCTACCAAAGAAGGAGTATGCAAAACCAGTAACAGAGTCGGCTAGCTGGTACCCGAGCTGGACCCAGTTATGGTTAATCCATCCCCCGGGGATCTCAGTGAAGCCATCGAGGTGCGCAATGTAGTCACTAGCAGGGCGCATATTAGTCATATATCAGTCTCTGCTTAGTTGTAATAACACTTACGCGGCAAAGAAGGCAGTCAAGACGTTGCCAACAAGTCCTCCGATGCCGTGGACCGCAAAGATGTCCAAGGCGTCATCGATCTTGAGCCAATACTTGAGCTTGGTGGCGTAGTTGCAAGCGATAGCGCCGACAACACCGAAGATAAAAGCGGCCCATGGAGGCACGAAGCCAGATCCAGGAGTAATAGCGACCAATCCAGCAATGACTCCTGAGCAGAAACCCACGGTAGACCATTTCCTCTCGAGTCGGTAATCCAGAAGACACCAAGTGACACCACCAACAGAGGCGGCGAGATTGGTCACAAACGCTGCCATGACAGCTCGCATGTTGGCGGCAAGGGCTGAGCCAGCGTTGAATCCAAACCATCCCACCCAGAGAAACACGGTGCCGATGACGACGTGGGTGACGTTGTGAGGGCGGTAATTGAGCTCATGTGTGCCATGACCACGGCGCTTTCCGAGCATCAAAGAGTAAGCCAATGCTGCTGAGCCGGAGGCAATGTGCACAGGCGTGCCACCAGCAAAGTCCAAACCACCGAGCTTGAAGACCCAGCCGGAGGAATTCCATGTCCAGCAAGCGATAGGGTCATAGATGATCGTGGACCAGATGAAGGAGAAAACCATGCAGGGAAGCATACGGCCACGTTCGGCGGCGGCACCGACGGCGAGTGCCACACTTTCGAGTTGTCAGCTGTCCTATCTTCGAGAACGACGGGAATGCTTGAAATTGGACTCACGTAATGCAAGCAAACATTCCCTGGAACACAGCGAAGAGCAGATCCGGCACCTTGCTGCTGCCAACCGAAGGCGCTGCCAGCACACCCTTGAATCCAAAGTTTGACAGATCACCAATGTACTTTCCAGCAGTATGGGAAAAGGCTAGTGAGTAGCCCCAGAAAAACCACTGGAAGGAAACGACGCCGACAGACATTATCGAGAGCCATATCAGAGAGAGGGCCGACTTTCGACGGGCAAGACCAGAGTAGAAGAAGCTGAAGGCTGTTAGCAATGAACATGAAGATGAGTCGTCATATGTTCATACCCAACACCAGGAATCATAAGCAAGACTAATGCGGTTGAGGTGACAACCCATGCAATGTCACCAGACTGGAGGGACCGTCAGCTACCGTTCATTCCAGAACAACATACTACAATAGGGAGGTTGACAAACGCTGTAGTATATGTTCAAGTCCTCCGTCAAGGAGTCTCCACCCGTTGCTATGGTGCCATTGTAGGCCACTGGGTATTCCGCCATTGTGAAACCTCACCTGCAGCACAGGACAGATTTGTAGATGGGGACGATTCTTTGGCTGTAGGCTACTGACCAAGGCCGGTTGCCGTGGTGCTAGATAACCAATAATAGAAAGCTGAAGTCCCGAAATGCAACGAGGCAGGTACTGAGCAGGAATGAGCTGCAGAATCAGAGTCGAAGTCGTCGGTCAGAGCTGAACACGAG